CTTGATGCTTATATGGGTTTGGGAAAGTACTAACATCACTTGTTCTAAAATAATTACATTTAGAGGGTGTTTGACACCCATTTTTTGGAGAATATAATTTTTGGAATAGTGATTGATGGGAGAATGTGTGGTGGAAAAATTATGAAAAGTTTTAGATTTGTATGTAATATTATTTTATTGAGAGAATGTGTGGTTGAAATGAAGAAAGAGAAAAAAATGAGAATAAGATGAGAATGGGTGCCAAACAGGGGCTCGAGATGATGTAGAGAAAAGAAACGGTATTTAGAGTCTAATTATGAATAAGGAATCTGTTATCGATGTATTTTTATATCTCCGAGCTTTGACTGCTTATTTGTGAGAAAAATACTCCACTATTAATAAAATTTCAATATTTAGAATAAGCAATAGTTTCATTAAATTACTCAACGAAAAAAGAATCGTGAATCCCTTGTTCGATATAAGGGGAGATTTTATCTTTTGGGATTTTTATATTATGTTATTTGACTCAACTCAAGAACGTAAAGTTCTCTTACCGATATATCATTACATCTCAGAGTTTTGGCCGCTTATTTGATGCAAGAGATACTCCAAAATAAATAGAAATTCAATATTTCGAAAATCACTCAACAAATAAAATAGAAAAATGCACCTGAACAAGAATATTCAAGTGCTAAAAGGAGAATTTCATCATTGGAAATTTGATCATATCACCTTATTTGACTCGACTCAAGGGCATAATGGTTTTTACCAATGCATTAACTTTGCCTCGCATAACCGCATAGCGGTGAGAAATATACAATAAATTCACCAAATCCCTCAATGAAGAAAAAGGGTAAGTAGATTGAAGAAAAGAAAATTACAAGATAAATCAGCAAAGCAATAAAGAACTTCCATTAATCTCGATATGAGAAAACAAAAATCACATAGGCATAAATTAATTATAAGTAACTAAAGCCAACATGCAGAAGCATAAACAAAAGACAGTAAGATTAATCTCTCTGCATCAAGAGTCACATTGAAGCCCCCCTACCCCCACGAACCCACCCCCAAAAACCCACATTATCCCTCTTAATAATCAAACTAGGGTTCCTTCAAAAATCTTTATTTCTTCTCATGAATCTCATCTACAACATTTACTGGCTCTGTAATCATATACAGATTATTAATGCTCCGATACCTACGTTTCTTCGACGGCTTGCAACTGATCTGATCACAATCTTGCATGCTTTTCTTTGACGATGTGATTTCATCCTTTATTATCTTCTTCTTTTTCTTGGAGATCATGCGGTTTCTTGAAGTATTTCTTCGATCATGATCTCGATCATCTCCAAATAGCCGCATGATTTGGTGTGCTATGGCTGCTGATGTATCTGATTCTGTAAACTCCTCGCTCCCTTGACAAGCCATGAAAATTTGCAAGAATTAATGATAGAAATATATGTACGTCTGTGTGTTAGTGTTGTCTGAGAGAGTGCGTGTCATCTTGGTTTTGATGAAATTTAAGGGTTTACTTTTTTATTTTTTTTATTAAGGGAAGCGCGTAACGGACAAGGCTACGTGTTGACTTGGTCCATGCATATTTGCCTTGGTCTTCAATCTTAAAGACCATTGAACAGATTGTTGTTTTGTATTTTATATACCATATTTGATTATATTGACAAAGACTACAACAGTGTGATCATTATTCTAGTGTTGGAAAATTGGTCGGTAGAGTTAAGTAAAATAAAAATATGATCAGTTTTGTACGAATACAAGATCTGACTAGATCTTTGAGTTTTTGCTTAGTTATAGTTATTCTAATTAATCACATAAAGGTTTTGTCGGGTGTTCTTGTTCCTTTCTTCCAACCTTCAAGGCTTTTTTGGATATTTTTTTAAAGTTATGACTACACAGGTGTGTGAACATCGAAAAATCAAGAACTAAATCCTTAGATCGAATTTAAAGACAAGTTAGATGAAAAGAACAAGTAAACACTCTCTTCTCTCTCCAAGGTAGCGCACACCTGAAGCGAGTGTGTTGCATTAGTCTTCACTCACACCACTAAATGTGCGAGTGTTGATGGCAAAAAATGATTTGGAACGTTTTAGTCAATCTTACCACAAAGGGCGAAACCCCAAGTTGGTTTGAAAAATGAAGGAAAGTGGGAAACTATTTAAATCGCGACACCGAATTATATTATACTCAAATTATGCTTGTGTTTGACACCCTTTTTGGGGGAAAAAAATGAATTTTCGAATAGTGATTGATGGAAGGATGTGTGGTTGAAAAGTAATGAAAATTTTTAGATTGTGTGTAATATTATTTTATTTGAAGAATGTGTGGTTGAAATGAAGAAAGAGAAAAAAAAATAAGAATGAGAATGTGTTTGACACCCATTTTGGAGAAGAATAAATTCTGGAATAGTGATTGATGGGAAGAATGTGTGGTTAAAAAGTAAGAAGAATTTTTGGGTTTATGTTTAATATTATTTTATTGAAGAATGTGTGGTTGAAATGAAGAAAGAGAAAAAAATAAGAAAGAGAATGAGAAAAGAATGAATGTCAAACAGGGGTGAGTATCAAACAGGACCTATATAAAATCACATAAGTCTATTATGCCCCTTAATTATACCACCTTTACTTTCCACTATTATGCCTTACCCTGCTAGACTTCCAATAATCAGAACTAAGCTAAACGATCATTTTGTGATTCTAGTTATTTTCTCCCTTGAGCTTGCATTTTTTCCATTGATTCTCTTTGAACTAATCACATATGTGATGTTGGGAATTTACTTAACTTGTACAGCAGAATTTAAACAATATTTCAAATCTCACAAGTGATCTGCTTTGTGTTTGGAAAGAAATTGTGATAAAAATTATAAATTTAGTTAACCTTGTAAACAATTCTGATATGCAATGTACAGCTACCCAATTATCCGACCTCTAATGAAAATTCACATAAGGAACAAGAATGAGAGAATTAGAATTTCTCTTTTATGGTGCTACTAAGACAATGAATTGTGTTGTATGTTTTTCAACCTTAACAAATTATTAATAGAAATTCAAGTGGGTTTGACCCATGACTTAAACTCTATCCAATCCAGTGTTTAATTAATATACAATACATATATCGGTCCTTAACTATACCATATTTCAATTTTAAGAAAAAAATGTTTAATATTTCAAAAGTCGGGTTATATATATTCCATTAAATTAGATTTCTAAAATCAAGCATTCAGTTCCATCTCAAATCGAACTCTTCAAAATACAAATCTATCATCGAATAGAAGAGAAAAGCCAAAGAGATTTATCATATTCTCGATTACCACCGTTGGAATATGGCTGATTGAAAATAATTGGACAATTAAGATCGCACATTGAAAGTTATCATCACAGTAGATCATAATTTTTTAAGGTGCCGACTAACACTGAGGAGTTTGTTGTATTGTATTGTTGGCAAAGGGTTTCGAATTAGATCATAATTTTTTAAGGTGCCAGCTAACATTGTATTGTTGTTGTATCCTCCTACATTTGAACTTATGAAACGGTGTTGAAGCTTCAATCGTGACTTACTGTGACGAAAATTGAAGAGCTCCATTAGCATATAAACTGTGATATTGAAAAGATCCACTGGCCAATAAACTATGAGTTGCTGCAACAAAAATTAAAAAGATACATTGTTACTTGTGACATTGATCCAATGGACTGTAGCCAATTTTATGTGATATGTGATATGTTGATATAGGTCTGTGACATATGCAATATGACATGTGGC